GCGACAGCAGCCAGATTGCGGGGTGAGGCCACTCCGCTCCGGAGCGCCGCGATAGCGGGGTGAGGCCACTCCGCTCCGGAGCGCCGCGATAGCGGCCGCTCCGGCCGCTATTGACTACTATGGTATTATTGACATGAAACGTACGATTCACAACAATTCATTATTTTATTCTTTTTTCATGAAAAAATTGAAATGTCACATAAACTTAAATTGTTAAATGAAAAGGAATTGAAGGAAAACTTTTGAACTTATCCTATTCCATTACTCAATTTGTCACTCACTCATTCAATGTATACTATTTAGCTATTTACTTGCTTAGTTTCCATTCTTCTAAAATAAAGGTTTCACAAACTCATCTAAATATAATTATTTTGTTCTACAAGACTTTGCTTAAGTTGTCTTTATCTATTTGTAATTGAAGTTTTTACATTGAACACCATCATCTATATGATATATTTGAAGTAATTTTTCATTGATATTCCGATTCGATAGAAATTATGATTCACAATTCAAATCCCGATTTGATAACCTTCACTAGACCCAAATCTAATTGGTACCAAATGTATAGTTCCGCTACATATAACATGTTTTCGCAATACGCAGAATGAATACATTTAGATGGAAGGGAAAAGACAAAGAACATGGGTACTAGATCCAAACTTCAAACCTAAATGACAAACCAAATGAAAATATAAAGAAAAGCACTACAATATATAAGGAACAAACTACAATCATTTACAAACTTGAGAGTAAAGGAAGTTAAATACAAGTCAAATTCATTCTACAGATTAAAACATTACCTCTTCAACACAAAGACGTGATGGTTCTTTCGCAAGCTCTAGAACACCTTTGATTAGAGATCTCAATCCCTTTTCAGGGGAAATAAGATAAGGCTGATAACCATCTGCTTCTAACACAATCTGACAATGGGCAAAAAGGATAAGCCACAGTAACAACAACCCCTCCCCCCACCCCAACACACACACAATAAAATAGGCGAGGGGCACTAAGGGGAAAAATAAAGAAAGAAGATATCAACAAAACAGTGGTTCAAAACTTACCCTCTTTACATTGTTGATATCAAAATGCCTATCTAAAGGTAATTGTTTCATTCTATCAGGAAATCTCCCCTCAAAACAGGAAACAATTTTCCAACCAGATCCCTGCAAGACAATTTAATAATAATATAAATAAAAAAGGTCCAAGCAACAAATACAAAATTAATTATTCATTAACACAGGTTTGTTTGAAAACCAATTTTTCACCAAATGCTGAACTATCAAAATATCTACGAATCAATTATAAATGAGACTTTCCTCATTTTTTCCTCCACAGTTCAGCTGTTGGCTATATTTGAGATAAGCTTTTGTAGTATGTTATGAAAATTCAGCTTCTTTGCACTTTCAGGAGATTGGCAAGGAAAACAATACCTAGTGGCAATGTGTGGTTAATGGGATTTAGTGGTTTGTATTGTTGAAAAGGAATGCTTGTATCTTCAAGTGTATCTTTTCCTTAAAATCGGCCAAGTAAAGAATTGGGCAGTGAGTATATGGTTTCTCTTTCGTGTACAGATCCAAGGTTTACAAACAGATTGGGCAGCTCTTCTAGCTGATTAGTCTTGCAGGACTTTTTTTGTGTCATTGTATTGATTTTCTTTAATTGGTCTGAGGAACCCTTATTATCCATCTTCTTGTACAGTTTTATCTTTCTATTTCTAATACACTTTCATACACATAAAGGTAGTAATAATGTTCTCAATATAGCACATAAACCAAGTAACAAACTACATTCTTTATCCAGAGGACCATAGCAATAATGATGAATATTAAATGGCAAGTTAATCGAATATACTCTTTCTCAATTCTAAAACCTCAAATATGTTCTTTCTCAATTCTAAAACCTCTTTCAAGCTTCAACTTCTTAATTAAATTGGGCCCAAAAAATAGTTTCTTCAATGAAAAGTAACACAAGAAACAATATGCTATAATATGCACAAAAAAAAAAAAAAAGACTAGATTATTTGGAGCTAAAGAAATAGCATTCCCAATAATAAGTAACATAAAAAATAAATAAAATTTAACTAAAACATGAGATTGAGAGAGCAAACCTCGCCAGTGGTAATGTGCTGCAGGAATTTATCCTCAAATTCCCGGCAAAGTTCCAAGGCTATAGCACGCGTACCCTCTGAAGTCGTGACCATTGACTCTCCAAGCCTTGCCAATTCATCCTGAACTATCTGAGACTTCCCTTGTAACCTTAACAGTTTCAGCGAGGTAAAGATTAATAGACTGAACTTTCTAATACAAATCATTTAGTAAGAACAGCTATTCACATGGTAAACAAAATATGAAAATTAAAACACAAAATACTTCACATAAATGCCAAGAAACAATAACCATTGATATATATTCCAGGTCTTAGTTTTCCACTACTATAAACAAGAATCAAGTCAAAACAACAACATTTATAATTAATGGGGAAATGTCATATTGCACTACATGGAACTTACCCAGAAAGAAGGTTAGGAAGCCGAAGCTTCATGCGATTCTGAATCTGCTGTGCCAGGGCATCCACTAAAGCAATCCTTCCAAGCTTACTTTGAGGAGCTCCTGTCAATATGGACTTGAGGCTTTCACTCTCTGCTCTCCATGCAGTTTCTAAAGAACTTTCAGAACCAGCAGATCCAGACTGTGCTGTAGCTATTGAAACTGATTGACCAATCAATGCAACCCAAGGAATATCTGATGTTTTGGCAGGACCCTGATTCAATAAGAGAGCTTGTACTGCAGCCAGTGCTTTTTGGTCTGTTGCAGCTTGATCTATTTTACTAATAATACCAACTGTTCTGGTACCTATGAAAATATATATTTGCCTATTTCATCAATTAACAATGAAAAAATCTAATACCTAATAGAGAATGGAACCAAGCAAGTCCTCAAAAGAAAATTTATGCAAGTTTTTTATAACAACATTCCTAAAAAGAACCGAGCAAACAGTCTACCTTCTGCATCATACTCCTTTGTGTATCTTAGGGCTCGAGATGAAGCAATTTCTGGTGCTTGAGCTGCAGGTACAATAACTAGCAAAATGGCATCATTATGCTCCGCATATTCACTAACCTATGCAAGGACCACATTAAATAACATCAGAATTCCAAGACTGTTCAATGATAACAAAAACCAAAAAGTTTAGGAATCAATTTGGGAAATGTAGGACACCCAGTTACCGTTGATTCATCCATAATGCGCTGATCCAACCCAGGTAAATCAACCAATTTAAGAGGTGGTGCTGGGAAGAAAAGATGTTAGAAGGAACGTTAGGAAGTTTAGTTAAATAAAAGATAAACAGTACACATATAACTGGGGCTTGTCAATAAACAAACTGAATCACTCTTTCAGGGTTCAAATTCAAGCCAAATTTCGGCAATTATCTGATATCATAAAATATTAATTGCAAGCACCAACAACAAACTCAAAAGTTTTGCGAGGGCCACTGTAATTTCAAGAAGAACTATCTCTGACAAGCAAAGATCATCACATAGCTACGTATGGATAGTCCAGAAAGACAACAATATCCACCGGAGAAAAAGGAAGAAGTAATCGGGCAATTCATCTTCTCAAATCTGTATACTTCTACCCAATTGCAATATTACAGAACCTGAATGAAGATGGCAAGGTAACTAAAATAAATCAAGAGTTATTAATAAACCTGTACTCGTGCGTAGCTTCAAATAAATTTGATCTCGACTCCTGCCTGAGGAACCCTTACTCAGTCTATCCTGCAACGAGTGTCTCAAAGCACCTGCGGCAATAAAACAAAGCACGTGAGCATGCTCGTCAACAAAGCAAAGAAGCAAACTGCGCAGATCAGCCACTTAGGTATGCGCAGTCTCAACAAGAGAATAGGAACTGACTTGCAGAGACTTGCTGGGACTTGTTGTCAATCTGCAAAATAATGGATTTGCTGCTCAACGAAGTGTCTCGCTGCAGATCAATGCATATAGGAGCCCGAGTAGCTCCGTTCTCACCGGTAGGCTGAAGAACACAAATTTCCACACTCACTTTCACAGTTTCACTTTTGTAACAACAGAATAGGGTTTAAGAGAAAGAGAGAGAGTTCAAGTTACCAAAACGGGATGTCCAATCAAACTGTTGAGGACTGCGGATTTTCCAGCACCCTACAAAACCGGAATTGAAGTGAGCAAAACACAGTGACAGTGACGAAGCGACGAAAACGACGACGTAGAAGAAGAAAAACGCGAAACGGATACTCACAACATTGCCGAGTGCAACGACGTTGAGGAAAGTGGAAGGTCTTCGAGAAGCGTTGGCGTCGTCAACGTCTTCGTCGGCGAGAAGCGCCGCCGCTTGGCGCATCGAGTCGGCAAGCTCCGACAAGTCCTCGATCGCCGCCATGTTAGAATGAATCGACGGATCCAAAGCGGAGAAGATTGGTCGTGGAATCGAAGGCGCGGCGGATAGGGATCGATCGGAATCGAACCCTAAATCGGAGCTTCGATACGATCTGGAGCAAGGTACCGATCAGATCTCTGAGTTTCTCTCTCTAGGAAATGGGCCTTCGTCTTACTATATTGAAGTTTGATTCAGAAATTTCAAAAAGCACACTCTATCTCTCTCTTCCGCGTTTTGAAATGGTTGTCCCAGTCGTCTTGTCTTGTCTTTTATTTTGAATCCTGTTTTGTTTCAACTTTCAACCTAATTAACTTTTTTCTTCTCAAATTAATTCACCGCCCAACGTCAATTCACAGGTAGAAAGCAATGGTTTGGTTCAATTTATCATTCTAAGATTTGAAATACGAGTATAAAAAATCATATTTAAATGAAAAAAAAAAAAAGGAAACAATAAGTAAATTTAAAAAAAATCTTTGTTTTCTTTCTTCTGAGAGTGTTTATGTGGTAATTTAAAAAAAATAAGATTAAATATATTTTTAGTTTCTCGAATAAGTCTATTTTTTGATTTTTTAAATTTAAAATTATTATTTTTAGTCTCTTTAATTTCAAAAAAATTTATTTTATTTTTTATATTCAAATTTTGTTAAAAAATTTATCAATATTATTTCATAAAATCTATCTATTGATGTTCTTATTAATAAAAGTATCACATTAAATTTGATTGATACTGTATAATTGTCTTAATTAGTCATTTTCATATATGTTATTGATGATTTAAAAGACTAAAATAAGATTTTTTTAAATTATAAAGATTAAAATAATAATTTTAAATTTGAAAGATAAAAAAAAATTATCTTAAATTTAAAAGATTAAAAATGTGTTTTAAAAAAATATATGAAAGTTAGAATCAAAATTTAAATTTAAATATGTGTAGTATGTGGGACAAAATTAACGGCTAATGAAACATGATAAGTGTTACTGGTTAAATATTTGTACTTCTCACAACTTATGAAAAGTTTTTGTAAATATAATAAGTTTTTTTGTTTTGTTTTAACAAGTTTTTAGTATAGCATATTTTAACTCCAATAAGTTCTTTTTTAGATTCCATTAAAATTGACATTCAACTCGATGGAAAAATGCTTGCATAGTTTTTTTCCATCATTCATGTAATGGAAAAATGCTTTCATGGTTTTTTTCATAATTCATATAAGGAAAAAAATGCTTTCATAGTTTTTGTCATCATTCATATAATATATACAAGAGGTTTAAAAAACTTCTTGTACAAATATTTCGTAATAACATGATAATGAAACATGAAAAAATCTATAGTGTTTTTAAGATGGATTTAAATTAATATTAAAATAAATATTTTTGAGTAAAATTAAATGTTAAACAAAGTTTTAAAAATAAAAGGTCTTAGAAGAAATAATTTATTAATAATATAAAATTTTAAATCAATTCTTATATATTAAACATGAATCTCTTTATCATCATAAGTATTTTTAAGAGTTTTCTTTTGATATGATTTTTAAATATGATTTCAATTTTTTATTTAATTTAATTAATATTTATTATAATTATTTATAAATTAAATTTTAGTATTTTTAAACTAAATTATCAATAAATAAAAATAATATCGTGTTATAATATAAATTATTTATCATAATTCTAAAATATAATTATATATTTAAAATATCTATTTATTTAAAATTTAAATATAATTTATATATTAAGATATAATACTTATTTATATAATTTATTATAAATTTAAATTATATAATAAATATTTAACTTATACATTGTATATATTAAAATATTAATATATTTAACGATAAAATGTCACTTTATCAACATTTTTATTTAGTTGAGTTGTGATAATTTTATTATTTTAAAGACAATTCTCTACACTTTATTTGAATAATAAGTGAAATTATTAAGAAAAAACTAGAATTATTATTAGTTAAAAATAAAATTTTGTATTATTTGAATTGATGAAATTAATTCTTATATATTAAATATGAACAAATATCTTGTACAATAGTATTTTTAGATATTTTTCTTCGATGAAATGATTTGTAAAAATTCTTTTAATTTCTTTAATTCGATTATCATTTATCATAATTATTTATAAATTAAATATTATTATTTTTAAATAAATTATCAATAAATAAAAATTATTTTATACTATAATATAAAGAACAACTTAAAAACTATTTTTTACTATAAAATAAATTATCGCTAAATAAAAATTAATTTGCACTAAATCAAGTTCCAACTTAAACTTTTAGAAATGATAGACATGAATAAAGTGTAACTAAAAATCCGAGTAGCATCCAAAGTCATACAAAACTTCAAAAAAATTAATAAAAGGTTCCTAATCAGCATAATGTCATACAACATACATGATATTAAGAATGCAAACAAACCTTTTATACTTAAGGAGGTAAATCTCCATTAGTGCCATTTTCTTAAAATAATGTTTAGGTTATGCCCAATATTTTTTATGAGATTTTCTATAAAAGTTGTTACAAATCATATGTGCCCAATTATATGTTAAATAATCACGTGTGAGAGATATACGGAAAATAAATTAAAACTCATCTTATAAAAACTAAATCATTTAATTTAACATTATTCATAAATTTGATGTACAAAACAAAGCAAATTTGTTGTACAAAGTAATCTTCGATAGATATTTTCCTTCATTCTTCATAAAACTACTAAAGTTTCAACCTTAGTTATTGGTTCATCTTGTCCCATTTAAAATTCCTCAATTGCTCTTCACCTCATCATGTCATCCTAAATTAGAAATATTAACATCAAGAATCCAGTTTGTAATTTTAAAAAATGATATTTAATTATCAACAACAAATTAAAAGTTATAAACATAGAAGATAAGTTTTAGTCTTCAGTTATGGATACTGATTAGTTATGTAACATTGCTTGACATGACAAAATAATCTCAATAATAGCCCAAGCATGTAAAATCTTAATCATAAGGTTCAAACTTGTTAGAGAGATTAAAATTTTGTAAAAGTCTTTTATCATAATGCATTTTAAGCCTTTAATGGGTCCTGCCTATAGGTACAACGTTCATGTAATAATTGCTCAAACACTTTAAATCTTTGTAAGCCCAAAGAGACTAGTTAAAGAATACTATAATTGTTGGGTGTGATTTTAGCCATAAGTGACATAGAGAATGTTTGTTTTGTAAAAGTTTCCAAATTAGTGGAATCCTTAGAGTTTGAAGGTAATTATGTGACTAAGTTTGAGTGAACCAATATAAAAATACAAGATTTTTTTTTATCTCACCTTTGGACTAAGTACTTTTGAACTAATAGTATGCATTTGCGAAAAAAGTTTTTGAAACTTTCACACACACATTCAACCCGCCTTCCGTGTGTTTCTTTAACCTTCATATAATGATAATTCTCAATGAGAGGATATGCTAGTTTAACACACTTAAGTTATGACTTGCTAAGGCAAAGATAAGCTAAGGTTAAGCTTTGATCTATATTCGTTTAGTGGACAATAGTTTATACAATAGTAAGAGCACTAAATTTATTAGAGTTTTGACACAAGTGTGTAAAAACATTTTACTAAGCTCTATAATTCTTCTTGTATACATAGGCTTCAAATATATGACCATTGAGATAGGAGCCCTTCACGAGTCATTGTGACTTGTTTTTTAATGCATGGTTGATTCTACAAATTGATACATGAATGATTTATATTTAGATGCTTTGGAGGTGTTTTAGGGTTGACAAAGGCAAAATCATTATTGACTTCTTTTGAACAACATTTTACAAGGGTTGCGTATTCTATTTATAGACATCTTCCCCTTTTTGGACACTACAAAGGCATTACTTTACTTGCACCACTTTGTGTGCATACACTAAAAAGAAAATAAAATATACAACAATTTATAACCACTACAAACTATTAAAACACTTATCAACATTGTTTTTTAATGTATTTAACATAATTACAAGACATGTAAATATTAAGTCACTTGCATAACTTATTAGTTGGAGATGTTGGTTTAACACATTGGACACTAGACACAAATTCATACAAGACACATAAAGATTGATTTTACTTACTTATTTTATGTGTTTAATAAAAACATATTTGTCAAGTTAAAAACATAAAGTCTTCACAGTTCTTCTCTTTGACACATATTTCCTATAATGACTTAGCTAAAGTATTAGTCCATCAATATCATAACTTTATTATCATCAAAACTTGAAGTGTTGAGCATTCATAATTGTCTTTGGCTTAACAAATCTTCTTGGAAACATTTTATTGACAAGATCATAACAAGAAAATCTTCCCCTAACATCTTTTTTACGAAGTTTATTAAAAAAAAACTTGGTTCTTTGGAAGAAGAGTGACAAATAAGAGAGAAATAAGTGTAATCATATTCATAAATCTTATGGATGATCTCTTTTTGGATGATTCAAGCACTCAAATAGTTTCAATTAACCCTTAAATGTATGATATGTTCATTTTAACACTCTTTTTGTTTGTTATTTTCCTTAAATGTATTTTGTTGTAGTTAGTGAAAACTCCCAAGTTGAATGGACTATACGTAACTCAAAGTTATAGAATGAGTCAATATAAAATATTAGGTATTTTTCTTCCTTCCCATACTTAAGTTTTCATTGGTCAATATTATTAACATTTTTCATAAAGACTTGTTTTATGAAAAAGTTTTAAAAGTACACCCATACACAATTCAACTCTCATTCTTGTGTGTCTATTTCATTTTCATAGGTTTCACGTTAATACATAGTACCATTAAATATCAAAAGGCTACTAAACTTATCATATGAAGTATTAAATCAACAAAACAAAAGGAAAAAAGATAACATATTTTATGTATGTTAGAAGAAAGAGAATATAATTTTTTTTTGTATAAATTTTTACTACTACAGTAAGTGTCCTATTTTCTCTCCTCAAACTTTACACAAGGATCCCTCCATGCAATTTATGCATTTCAAATAGAAGAATCTATTTCAAAAATTTTCCCACACACTATATATATTAAATATTCAAGAGAAAATGTGAAAAAGAGTATATGAGAAAACACATGATAAAATGCTACGAACAATTATTAAACACTTTCACACTTCTTTACAAACTTATACTTAACTTTCAAATCCTTGTATTTTACAAGTTGCACACTTATCCTTAAATTCTCATACACTCACTTATGTGTATTGTTATCTTTAAAACAGTTTATCGTAAGTAGTTTCGAGTTAAAATTATGTAGTAAATTTTTGAAGCTTGAAGAGTTAGTAAAGAATACATGTCAATAAGTACTATTAGGATGAGATTATGAAGCTGTTAGGCTTGAAAAGGATGGTTAGAATATTAGTTGTAAATTGTTGCCATGGTAAAATTTCTTTTGATTAAAGACAACATATAACTCTTTAAAAATGATTAAATATTAAATTCTTTATGTTTCGTTCTTTACATTATGTTTTTTTTTTTTTACATTTTCAAGTTTCTCAAATTAACTTTTTGAAAGTGCTTTTGCAAAAAAATCCTTTTATGAAAGAATTCAAAGTTATACTTATAATTTAATTGCTTCTTGTGTGTAACTTTTTTTTTTTTTTTATTTTAAATTTTGGTAGTTACTATCGTGACAAATGACTTATGCTTGTAGAAACTTTAGAAATAGAAGAAAAAAAAGTATTTTAGGTTCTTGACCAAATCAATAAAAACTTTCTTTCTTCATCAATTTTTTTTCTTTACAAGTTTATTTATCATTTTCTTTATCACTTTTAGTTATGTACAGTTTTTCCTTTATTGCAATTCCTTAGAAGTAGAGTAACTTAGCCAAATTTCAATCTACAATTGCTAAGAAACTTTTTAGAAGTAGACTAGGGGTCTAATTAAAAAGCAAAATATTTTTCTTCAGTTAGTTAGTAAATAAAAATACCCATTGGTAATTAGGCATCAGTAATTGCCTATAAGTGTGGTGTTTTGAGCTTGTAATTAGTTTGATTAATATGTATTAGTTTAATTTAGAATTTTTTTTGTTAATTGTTGTATTGGTTAGTAAGTCGTATACATTGTATAACCATTTTGTCAAGCCATTAAATTAATAGCCATCGTTTTTTTTTTCTTTTGTTTTCGAGGTTGAGATGTTCTTATCTTAGGGTAGTAATCTACTTTGTCTATCTTGTGTTTTTCCCTTTAATAAAGACCTTGCGGTATTGTTAGCAGGCTATGACACAACGAGGCTTGATAGTATTTAGATTATGATTTATGGTGGTTCTATTGGGTTATAGTATGCATTTTACTTTGATCATTGATAAAGATTCGTTCGAATGATAAACAATAGTTGCAATTAAACTAAAAATGGGACAATAATGAATTAAACTCTCCTTGACTAAAGAGATCGAGGTGATTCTTGGCAAAAGTTCTTACCTTAAGAATTGTTAATTGCATGATATTTTTCTCAAAACTTACTCTTAAATTAAAAAATTATTTCATTTAGATTATATATATAAAAAATTATATTAAATAAAAATTATTTAATATATCATTTATATAAATCTAAGTAGACATAATATATATTCTTCAAGATATACTAAAATAAATTGATCACTTTCTTATTATCGTTGATTTTTAACACAATTATTCATAAGTATTTAAAGTAATATAAAGTTATAATTTAATGATTAGATCACAAAATTTACTTTTTATACAAAATTATTGAATAATGTAATAATTATAAAAGTTACATTGATATAATTTGAATTCTTATAATATATATCAATAATTTTAAGTTAATTTCAAAAGAATATTTTTAAAGATATATTTAAACAAAATTTCTCTCTATTTTTTTTTGTAAAATTAAAAAATGCTTTAAATAAATCACCAAGGTGTGATAAAAGTTTTTCAAACTAATTCATGAAAGTTACATAATTTTTTTAAACTAAGATATCTTTAAAGGAAAGGTACTCTTAACAAATATTTTTTCATATACACATTAGACAAAAATTAAATTCTAAACATATACTTAATATTTGATCAATCATGCAAGCATAAATTAATTTTTCACAATAACAAATTATATGAATCATAACCTCAAGCGTGTGGTTCAGTGGTAGGGATTGATCTACGCTTAAGCAAGGTCAGGAATTCGAATTCTACCTTATGTATGCAGTCGAGTTAAATCTTGGGGCCAACTATCCACCCTTGATTCCGTATCGCGAGATAATGTTAAACTTATCTAGCAATCACATTGTGAAAAGTTAATTAAGAAATAATATATCAAATTTAATAACTTTTAATAAATCTCCACGTTGAGAAGGATTTTTCTTTTAGCTTCTTTATGCAAGGTGACAAACAAACTTTAACTAGGTTATCATTTATTTTATAAAATAAAAGAAATGGGGAAAACTTAGCGTCCTCTTAGAGTGACAGACAGAGTGAGTGGGAGCGAGAGAGGCAAGAAAATGTTCAAGAAGGCGGTGGAGGCGAAATCTCACCAGAGATTGTCTGGTGCGGACAGGAAGAAGCTGAGACGAAGCATCAAGGACAAATTCCAAAGGGCTTCTGATTCCGACTTGGACGCCTTGCTTCCTCCCAAGGTTCGTTGCTGCTAATATTCATTGATCCATCTTTTAATACGCACGCTCGCACGCAATTAACGTAAGGAATAATCAATTACGCAGGCAGAGATAACAGTGTCCAAGTTTCAAAACCGTGTCCATGTATATTCCGTGGAAGGAGGCTTTCCAATGTTTTTCGACGTTGATGGCCGCGGCTCAGACATTTTCCCAACAGGTTTCGTTTCATTTGCTCATAATAGGTCAAAATCATGAATTCAAATGATGAATAGAATTAGAAACTAAAAGAAAAATGATTGGACGCAGTTTATGCACTGTGGATGGTCCCTGAGTTGCTGCCTGTTTTCGTGCTGAAGGGTGGTGAGGTTTCCCGGTTTGTTATCGGTGGTGCAGACTTGATGTTCCCTGGTATAACTGTGCCTCCCGAAGGACTTCCTTCTTTTGTAGCAGGGGAACCTTGGGCCGTCAAAGTACCCGGAAATCCTGCTCCCATTGCGGTTGGTAACACTCATACATTGCTTGTTTGTGTTCCATTGAGTTTCATTTCTATGCATTGTTGGTGTAGAAAATGTTGTCAACCAATAAAAAATTATAGTGATTTTTAAAGTAGATATTGTAAAAGTCAATAAACTTATCGATATATAATGGTTTATGATTGGATGACACTATAAAAATCTTTTACATTGTTAATGTATACACTATTTTATTTACTGTAGAGTAAATTAATTGACACTTCATGAGGTTTCGCGAAATTGCGGATAAATTTCCTGTTTCTTTTTTACCTCTACGTTAACTCCCCTTAATTGTTTGAAAAAACGACACAGACACCCGTGGACATTACATTTACACCCTTAATATTTTGAAAATCATTTTGCTGTGTCCCATTATAAGGGATGTTGTAAATGTGAAAAAAAGTTGGGAGTTATGTGCAATCTCATGAAACCTCAGGGAGTACTGGTGTAATTTAATTTTTAATTTATCGTGTCTGTGCCTATCGTCAACATTTCACAAGTTACATGTCCGCTCAAAATTCATTGATTCTCTTGAAGGTTGGGAGTACTACAATGAGCAGTGCGGAAGCATTAAAAGCGGGTTTACGTGGAAAGGCGCTAAGAATAACTCATTACTATCGTGATTTGCTTTGGCAAGTATAGCTAGAGACAGCCTGTGATCCTTTTATTCATTACAACTTACAAGTAACCAACTGAGTCAATTTGCTTGGTTGGATTTGCAGGGAATCTGCTGAGGGCCGCCATGTGCCTAATGCAGGTTTTTTTGAAGATGTTGTGTATGAGGATCCTTCTTTGTTACCAGCATCTCATGATTCTGATTTGACTGAGGTTGCTGGTGGTGAGACATCAAATGATCAGCAGAAAAACCTAAAAGGCGATGGAGCGGAGGAGTCTCAGGATGTAAATGAGTTACAACCTGACTCCACCTCCACATTGACAGCACCAAATGACAATGAAGATGATACTGCAGCTGAAGTAACTGAAGGCGTATCTGATTTGAAGTTAACGGATACTGCCACTGCTAGTGACCCTAATGACCAGCATACTCTATCGACTGCAGACATAGATTCTCTGTTAGATAAGTGCCTTCTGCAAGCCTTGCACACAACAGTGAAGGACAAAGACCTTCCCATGCCTGGAAGCACTCTATGGTGGGATTTTCTTTCTGTTTGCCTCATGGTGTAGGTTAGATAGTTTAAAAAGATAATTATCTTAGTAGCACTGTCATCCAAATATGATCTCTGTGAAGTGCACTTTCAATTGGATAAGATCACAAGAACTTCAGTAATGTGTTTCTTCAAGATCTTGTTTTTTATACTGAGCAGGGAATTTATAATAAATTTGAAAATTGAGGTCTGGATATTAGTGTTGAATAATTGAACATTGAGTTTCTGTTGGAAAAGATTTTAGTTTTGAGGTTGAAGTGTTAGTGTATCAAAGAAAACTAATTGAGTATAATAAATTTTTCATTTAAGGAAGTTATTGTCATTTGAAGACAGCTGAAACATTTGGTGATTATTCAAGTGCACTGTCATTTATGTTTAGCATTCTTTCCCCACTTAAATTCATTTCATTTTGTATTGAACCACTATTAGTTTGTGCTGAATTGAAAAGTTAGATTTACCTCCAATAATCTAATAATTATTTGTTTTTGGGCATTTCAGGTCAAATCATGTATTGCCATGCAGGCCTTCAGGAATTACTTTAGACATCAAGAAATCTTCCTACAAGAAGTTGTCAAAGTGGTTACAAGCAAAATCCACGTCTGGCTGGGTTTGTTGTCTACTGCTTTCTTTTTACTTGGATAACTAGAATAGAAGCTTTCTGATATTTACTGGAAAGTCTTTCAAGTTTCAACTGTTATATGAATTACAGAATTAAAATCTAGAATGTGCCAAAGTAGGCCTCTGTCAAATGTCAATGCATTGCACAGATGTTTTCTTCTGTCAAGATGTACCTTTTAGTGAAACATCCAGACACTTTTGGCCCTTAGCTCGTTAGATGTGTGATCTCTTAGCATGTTGCTTAGATATGTAAGTGAAGGCACTAATGAGAAAGAAATAAGTTTGACTACATCTTGCTGTTTTAGATTTGTTTCATGAAGAATTGGAATGGAGGTAGGCATAGGAGATTGGAACAGAGTAGTTCTCTTAATTCAATCTGCAAAGTATTAATTGAAGTTTTTAAAACAATCAGCACTATCCAAATTAATGACCATGAGAGAAGATTGAATAGAAATTTGGGGATTGGACATTACAGTTTTTCCTGTGTAAGTTATGACTTACAAGCTTTTGTGAAGTTTTTGGTGAATGAATTGCTTTTGGAGGGGATCTGTTATAGCTGCTGAAATCAACTTAAGAAATGATTCTCAATTTGGGATAATGATGCCTTTTTGATGTATTCAACAAGGTTGATGAGGCATTGAATATTTTTTAGAATATTATTGTTATTAAAGTTTAGGCATGTTTATGCCGATAGTTATATGTCTGTTTTGTGTAATACATCATGAGCGAAATGTATGGAAATTTTTTATTTTCATTGTATGTTGTCCTTTTGATCATTTGTCTTCTGCTAGTAAAGCTTTCTGCATTGATGTTTAATGCAATGTTGTTTCTGGATTTTTTCTTCACATATATTCACATTTTGTAGATATCAGTAAAAGAAGATAAACACAAAAAGGAAGTCATGCTATTTTCAGTAAACCGAAATCATGCTGATTATTCTTCGTTTAAGCCTGAAAAAAGGCGGGTGGAGAAGAGTGAGCAGCCCAGTGTTCAATCTGCCAATGAAATTCATTCGTCCAAAACTCTTGAAGTGGTTGAAATCTACAAGCCAAGTGTACATGTCAATTCCATATTTTCATCTGTGGGAGCTGACACAGGGAAACTTTTTAGTGCTTCTGAAGCTACCGAAATTGTCTTCAAATATGTTGAAAAAGAAAATCTTGTGAAACCAACTAATAAATCCATTGTGATTCTTGATGCCATATTATGTGATGCACTGTTCAAGGGGGCTATTAAAAAAGGAACAACATATCCTACAGAAATTCACAAGAAAGATTTAGGATCAACATTTGTGAGTCGTATGCAGCCTCACCATGTTGTCACCAGAGGAAATGAATCTGTAGTTCGTAAAGGTGCACTTAAAACAATTCAGTTACTGACAGAACGTCGTCAAGGCAACAAGAAAGTAACCAAACTCTCTGGTATGGAAACTTTTCTTATAGATGCTGAAGCGTTGGCATCAGAACTGCAAAAGAAGTTTGCTTGCAGTACCACTGTTGCAGAACTACCAGGTATTTCTTGGTTGCACTAAAATTATAAGTTTTATATTGGTTTGTACTTGTTATCCTCAAGAAGTATGGAATTTACTAGCAGATGAGTGCCTTTATTTATAATGCCTGTTAGATGTTGCTTTTCTTTGTTTAAATCCAATCTCATATTGTGGTGTCTGATTAATATCTCTGCACTCATAGAATGTGTTTTTGGTTTTATCTTTCCATGTTTGATAAAATGTTGATACCTAAGATCATAAAACTACATTTGGGTCTCAAAAATGGAAAGAGAAAAGATATCAAATCTACGTTGTTTAGTCCCCAGCTGCTATATCTTCTTACTTTTCATGTTGTTGGTCTTGCCTTCTGATAAGTCAGATAGTCATTCTTTTTCACATTAACAAACATATTAATGGTAGTATGTATGAACTACCATACTAATTAAGTATTGAGGAAACAAGGAAATAAAGGCATTAAATCACCTAAGATTGATTTTTTTAAGCAACAAATTGTGTTTTGATCAATTTGAAGAATATAAGTGATTGGGGAACTACTATTGTGAAACATGTTTTCCCTAAAACCTGGTAGTGTGGATTCTTATGTATCATAAATAATATTAAAATCAATGAAGTGGTATATTGTGTGTTTTGCGTAGCAATCCCAGGATGGTATATGTAACCCTATATATGTCATTATTGTGCATTAATTATGGTAAATAAAAGAAATGAGTTTGAGGGTATTTATTTTCTGTTGCATGTTCAAGTTAACGATATATTGGAGGCATGAAAGGTAGATAGGTGCAGTTGCATAATATTTGATTTCTTTATACCAGTACTAAGAGGATAGAGAGTAAGGGTCCATATGGGAAACCAAACAGATTTAATATGGTACTTTTAGCGGAGCTTATGCAACAAGAGTAATCAGTATATGATCTCTTTTGAATTCATACCAGGGGCATTTTAGTAAATATGTGTTAATTTCCAATTCCTTCTGAATGTTAACAGTTAGGAAAACCAGGGATTAGGCTTGCATGTTTAAAATTTATACGTTCGTTTATCTTCCCTTCAATATTTTTTGTCCTTTGTGTTAACATAACAGAATAGGGATGAGGTGAACTAACAGCTGAGTGTATATATTTCTTTGTTCGTTTAAATACCTTTTTGTCCCTAAAATTTCATGAACCTTACCTTTTTGTCCCTATGATTAAAAATTGTTCCATTTTTGTCCGCATAAATACTATTTTTGTTTCTTTTTAGTTCTTGTCATCTATTGCTATAGAGATTAAAAGGTAAAGTCTATGAAACAATATAGACTAAAAAAAAAAAACAGTGAAGGAACTAAATGAAATGTTTTAAATTATTGGTTTTAAAAAGATAAAGTTCATGAAACTATAGGGACCAAAAGAGTATTTAAACCTTTTCTGTTTATTTCAAGAATTTCTTGGTTTGAAATGGCTTGGGGAAGATGGAAAGAGACTACACCCTTCCAACATTCATGGTTCTGACTTGTGAAGTTTGACTTTCTAGTTACATATATAAAATGATATTCATTATTACATTGTCTATCTGAAATTCTGCAAAATTTGTTTGCAGGTAAGAAAGGGCAAGAAGTTTTGGTTCAAGGAGGAGTTATTGATGACCTAGCTAGGCATTTGATTGAACAATATGGAGTTCCTAAGAGATACATTGAAGTTCTTGATAAAACCAAGAGATGAGCTGCATACAATAGTTTTTATGTAACGCAGCTGGGAGTGCTTTACTTGGATGCCAAAAGATGTATGTTTTGTACTTTCCGTACTCAAGTTTATTGGTTTGAGGTGAATATAAAAGAAGCGTGCTAAGAATAGAAATGGGCAAAACACAAATGTTCTTTCCAATTCAAACAATTGCTGTCTTCAAGTTTATTGTGAAACTCTGAATGGAGGAGGCCACCATTCAGATCAACAAACTTGATCAATTGAGGCAGCAGAATTCACACTTTTTTCACTACTTGATATGTAAGCTATAGACTAAACTCTCTCTTTACTTTTTAGTCTGAGATTGCAAGTGTCTGATACTTAATTTTACTTTATAAAACCTTCACTTTAGTTTAGTCTCTAATTTCCTAAAACATCATTTACTTTATCTTTATTTTGCTACTAAATTTTTCATTGACAATAAAGATCATCATAAACGATGTTTTGTGAAGTTTGAGGCTAAATTTAGGGTTATGTAAAGTCAAAAATCGAAAGTAATTGATCTTTATCTGTTCAGGGACTAAAATTGAATTTTCCTCTGATGAGTTTAATGCTTTGTTTGTTATAGTAGAAATGATCCAAAAAGAAGTATTCAACACTTTTTGATGTATATTCTATTATTTGAAATACACAAGAAAAGGACGAGAATGAAAATAATTATGCGGGATTCAGATTAAATTTTCTCTCTCCACAATAATCAAGAAAATGAGAGGAGAACTATATTTTATTCTTGTAAAAATTGTATTTTTATTTCTAGTTAAAATAATTTTAGTTAGGAACATAAATGAGAGGGGAGCGATATTATTTTTTCCTTTTATAATAGCTCTGTCTCCATATCTTCGTGCATATGCTATGGATTTGTTTTTTCCGTGCCTATGTACCTTATTATCATTCTTTCTTCCAAGTTTCCATATTGTACCAACAAAAATGTCTATAAGAAAATATCTCTTTTCCTCTGCTTTCTTTCGTATTTCACCTATTCTAAATAATTTTAAAAAATATTTCTTTTCTCATCATTTTTCCCCTACTCATTCTTTTAATTGTCTCTTTCTATTCTTTTCCAACCAAACCATGTGTATGTTTATTTGAAAGTGTTGTTAGTATAATTATTCTTTCTTATTTATTTTCTTTGAAACTAACTAGTCAATTGAAATTAAGTTAGCTTATAAATTTATTTGAACATGCATGATATTATTAAACAAAAACGCGACGAGTAAAATTTTTACTTAAATTAAATGACTTAGAATCAATAAAAGGTGAATGCTATTTGGTTTAAGAAATATCTTTCTATTTTTGTTTTCTATTTCTATTTTTTAAAAATAGTTTTCGTTTTCAAATTTAAAATTTTAGAAACATGTTTGTTTTGATAATTAATTTTCTATTTTCCAAAAATGCAAAACTGAAAATATGTTTAGTTTAACTATTTATAAAAACATTAAATGTTTTTATTATATGTTTACAAACACATATCTATACTAATATATAAAGGGATACTTATTTTAGTAACCACCTTGATCACCACATTTTGTTGACCATTATACCCTTTCATTTTAAAAAATTGAAAAAATAATATTTTTTTCAAAATCAAGACTTTAAAATTAATTGACTAATTATAACATTAGATTAACTTATATTTATTAATTTTATTTTATTTTATCTTTAATAGAGGCACGAAGTGCCTCGACCATACTAGTACACATAAGGAGGGTTCAAATAATATTAGTATAATTTTTTACCATTACATCATTTAATAATTTTATATTAAATGTGAATTTTTTAAAAGATTTACTTAGAGATTGAAAGTTTCTTACTTTAAGATCATATATATAAAAAAAATTATATTAATCAAAGATAATTTGATATCTTAATTTTATAAATTAAAATTGACGTAATATATTTGTTTTAAAATATATAAAAATAAGAACACTTTGATTATTTTTAAATTGTTCAATTTTAATAAAATTTAACAATATATAAGATGATATGAAGTTATAATTTAATGATTAAATTTACAAAATTCACATTTAATATAAAATTATTGAAATGTGTAATAGTTGACAAAAGTTATACTTGTATTGTTTTAATCCTCCTTGCTCTTTCTCTCTCTCTCTCTCTCTCTCTCTCTCTCTTTATATATGTACATACATCCCAATATGTTTAATTGCTTTTGGTCTTCTCTTTTTAATGGATCATTATATCTCTTGAATATTAAAAAAGTAATAACTTCTCATATTCTTTTTGAATAACCACCTACAATCATTTATTCTATTATCTCTTTTTATTTATTTATTTTTTAAAATTTAAGAAGTATGAAATGCCTTTTTTCCTTACTAGTATGCATATAAGTGGGATTTATTTACTCTACTTAATAATTCATGTTTTATATTAAATTTTAACAATCTAACTGTTAAATTAAAAGTTCTTAATACATAATTTGCAATTTTTTTAAAAATTTGAAAATTATTCGATGTTCCATTTTATCAATTCAAATTGACGAATAATCATTAAAATATTTTATATGTTGATTTCAATCAATAAAATAAAATATCAAATATTTTTTATTTATTTTTTTTAAATTTACAAATTTGATCTATGTATTATTTTTTTTTTTAATTTAATGGTTGTATCATTAAAATTTGATATAGAATATGAGATATTGAATGAAGTAAATCTAAATAAACTTATTCTTTGAGTAAATAAATC